TGCAGTAACAATCTGGTTTCCTCACAGTAAAGTACATTACAAATAGTTATTTCTAATATGCTGTCATCTTTCTATTATGTACTATAGAATTATGAACAATTATATATTTATTAAAAAACCCTGACCTGTGGTAATTACCAGGTCAGCTTGGATTTTTCAAGAAAAAAGTCTTGTTAAACTTTCATTTTTTTAATCAGGAAACTTCCTGGATATACATATTTCCTCCTCTGCCTCAATTCACCCAGTCTAGCTCAACTGATGACTCTCAAAGTGCAATGCTTTGGAAGAACCTGGGTGGTCAGGAACAAAAAAGGTAAGAAAGTTTCTACTCTCTTCCACAAATATCTTGGATTCAAACATTTTTGGAGGAGCAACTAGCATTCACAGAATAACGAGAACCAGCAATTCATGAGACCATGTGGAGATGGAACCTTGTTTTCCAGGATAATTGCACATGTTTATGAGCCATGGTTAGAATGCAGTACTGCAGGCTGCTGACTGCTGGTTGTCTGTGATTTGGCAGATCAAATCTCACCAAGCTCAAGGTTGACTCAGCTTTCCATCCTTCCGAGGTGGGTAAAATGAGGACCCAAATTATTGGGGGCAATATGCTGACTCTGTAAACTGCTTTGAGAGGACTGTAAAGCACTATAAAGTGGTATATAAGTCTAAGTGCTATTGCTATGTTCCACAAGATTACTTTTTATTCCCGGCTTCCAGTTTGAGTCTCTTCGGTGAGAGACTGAAATCCGCGATCGTGCGCGGTTTCGATCTGTGCTCGCCGCCAGAGCGCCCCGAGCCGGCTGGTTTTGGGGCTAAGCCACCCCGTAGAGGTGGTGAAGAAGGGGGAGACTGCCAGCAGGGTCAAGGAGAGCTGCATCTCTCTCCCCCAACTGGCCATTACTCCCTTTCCCGAAGGCGGTTGCAGCGGTGGTCAGAAATGGCCACCTCAAAGAAGAACTGAACCAGAAAAGAATGTGCAGGAGGAAGATAAGGAGAGAAATTAACCCAGTCAACTGGCTTAAACCAAAAAAGCAACAACGTAAGGTACCCTGGAATTTAAATTAAACAACATTGTTCCCAAAGAAGATTTTGAAGCTGCGAAGGAGAGAGAGAAGGGAAAGGATTAGGTTTTTTTTTTCTTCCCTTCCTTATACTGACAGCCAAGAGACTTAAGCAAGAAATTGAAAAAAAAAAATCCACTTTGACATTAATAGGCATCTAAGCTGAAAATAAAAGTCAAAGGGTTAATAAAGATTTCTGGATATTTAAAAGTTTTTAAAAGCAGGAAAGGAGAAAAAAAAGAATAAAAGGGCAGGATCTGGAAAAATGGAGGAGACTGCCTAGAACTAAGGAATGAAACTATAACTAAAAGGAACCTACAGTGAAATTTTAACAAGATTCCTCAAAGATACATTTTAACTGAAACTTGACAACAAAATAATAGAAACCCAGGAAGAGAAAGTGGAAAAAAGAAGCAAGAAGAAACAGCCTTGGATTATTTGGTGATTTTTGCATCTAGATGACTAAAATTAACTGGGTGGTTGTTTAAAAGTCTTCAAATGGTATCACTCTTAGAAGAACTGAAAATGGAACTTTGTACAAGAAGGGAGAGGTTCTTTTGGCTTCGTATTTCAATTCTTAGAAATGGAGATCTGGAACTATGAGAAACAACAAGAAACGCTTGCAGAACAAGAAGTTTGGGATAAAGAAGAAGCCATCTTTAATGATCAAATAATTTTAAGTGGGGGCGGAAAGGAAAGGGGGGAAAGAGAGTGAAAGGTTTAAGACCAGAAAAACAACCAAAAAGAAGAACAATTTGAAAGATAAGTATAATATTAGAAAGCAACAGAAGAGGGGATTACAGATGAGAGAGTTAGAAGTAGAGAGACGAGGGGGTAAAAAGGGGAGGGAGAAGGGGAAGAAGGTAAGGAAAAGAGGTTGTAAAAGGCAGAAACCAGAAATAGAGAAAGAGGGAAAAGATATAAGAATTGTAACTATAAGCTTGTTTAGAGATAATGGGTGAAAATTTAATTGCAAAAGGGATTCTGCAAAGGTACATAAGATAACATTGTTATATTACAAACAGAAATAAATTTAGAAAATATGACTAAAATGATGGATAAAGTATTTACTGTAATGTAGTGAAATGTTTGTTAATAAATAAATGAATTAAAGTGAATGAGAGAATTAAATGGGAACATTTTAATTATTATTAATGATTTATAAAAATATAAGTGAGAAATATGGAAAAAAAAAATTAACTATGGAAAGTTTATAAGTGTTCCCAAGGAAGTATGATATTTAATTGAAAAGAAATGTTAAAGATGTTAAGATTTTAATGAATATTAATGATAGAATTGAATTGGAATGGAATGGAACGTGTGTTTTACACACACACACACACACATATATATTCTTTTTAAGAATATAGTGTGTATTTTAAGAATGTACCAAGCAGAATTCAATTGGAAGTTATGTATTATATTGAATGCTATAATTTTAAAGGTATACATTGAATCTTAAATAAGAGTTTGAATGGATAAAATTAAAAGATATAAAGGTGTCATGCTCCAATTGGTAACTACAGGGAAAAATTTGTTTAATCAGAAAAGATAATATGAAATTGAAACAGGACAGACAAAAGTATAAATATAATGATTTGAATTGAGATGAGATAATTAAAATAAAGTTGAGAAAATTAAGAGGGGAAAAACTATGTAGAAAATATAAAACAGTAATAAGATATGGAATAGAATATAAAAATGAGCATGTAATTGAGTTTTGTGTCTGTATGAAGAAGTGATAACCTGGGACCATGCTTTTTTCAAAAAAAGATGTTTTATGTGTATTTTGTTTTTGTGAAAACCCAAATAAAATTTTCAAAAGAAAAAAAAATACTTTTTATTCCCCTTTCTAAGATATTGTCAATTCTATGCTAGTCTTCTAGTAAAAATTCTAGTCTTTTCTTTATCCACAGAGGATATTTCAAACTTTGAAAGAAAAAAAGAAAGTACAGATAGTTCTCAAGTTATTCATTTAGTGACTGTCCGAGGTTACAATTGCACTGAAAAAAGTGACTTATGACTATTTTTCACATTTATGATCATTCCAGCATCCCCGTGGTCATTTGGTCATTAGGCCTGCATTGTAAGATATAGTAGAACTGTAGACATTTTATAGAGCTACTAGAAAGGGCATGGTTATCTAGTCCATGTACTCATGAAGATGGAAATGTTCTTGAAATCATTAGGGAATGTAAAATTAAATTTACTCTTCATTTAAAAGTGAAGTGAAGTGAAAAAATTGGGGAAATTCATTTTGCATGCAGAAATATCCAGATGTTGAAATCCCTCGAAAAAATGGAGTAATCATGATGACTGCAAGCCTATTTTTGGAGGATCATCATCTATTTAAAGAACTATCTAGTCCAGTATCAATTAAAAAAGAAATGGCCCATCGGAAGAAAGAGCAGAGTTCATGAATGTTCTCATTGATGGCTACCAGAATGTGCTTGCTGAAATAATTTGTAGAAAGAAAAACTTTGAAACAACTAGATCAAGACTTTCACAGAAGAAGATTGCCCCATCACTTTAAGGAGGCATCAATGAACATCACAAAGCATTTTTTGAACTCTTTTACACAATTTTAATGGACAATGACTATTTGTCAGCTATTTATATGGGATAATATGAAGGCAAAGAAGAAAAATTTGGTATCTCACATCATATGATGACAGCTAATGTCATATGATGGTTTAGAGATTGGATTAGAATCAGATTCAAGTCCTTCTTCAATAACCTTAAGCTAATCATTCTTAGCACCCCAGTTAAAAGTTCTTAGTTAACTTATTTCTCAGGGCTGTGGTTGTAGTAAAAACTTGGAAAAGGAGTTTTCTTAAATTTCTGGAGAAAAAACAGAATATAAATATATTAGATAACCAAAAAAGATCCGTTATGTTATAAAGGAAACCAAAAATTACACATAAATATGTTGATTAAAAAGTTTCTTAAAAAGATCAAAATATCTATTTTAAAATTCATCTCCATAAAATTGGCAAAAGGAGAACAGATTTTATAGCATACAGTTTTAGAATACTTCCAATAAGGTTCTTAGTCTTAAGAAAGATTGGTGCACCCTAATTTGCACCATAAGCTCGAGTTAAGATAACTTTGGAGTTGCAATTGGTTAACTCTAAATTTCTTTTTTCCAAGCCTATTCCAAATGGATAGTTCAAATTCAGTAGTTTGGTTTCCAACCATTTAAAAACTATAACACTCTTGAAAGAAAAGATTCTTAATCCATGCCTTCCCCAAAATGAGGACTTCTAACTCCTAGGGCTGTTTTCAAACTCAGATATGTGGATACTTTTAGGACTCCTCACAATTTTTTTTCTCCCACAGAGAAAGCTTTGAAAAATTAAATTTGGCCTACATCTGTGAAATTTCTGTGAATAATGTAGATTTCAACTGTGAGGCTCTGCGCTACTTAAGAGGAAATACCCTGACCATTTTTCCCTAGCAGATTTCAAAATAAATTGAAATTTCATTTGCTCTGTGTTTTTAGAGAGCAATACAATTGCACTGCTACAGAATGTAACAACTGGGGGCTTACACACAAAAAATATCAGAAAAAAGATGTATCCAATGTTTAATCCAAAGGTTATTTAGATAACCTATAGATTCACAATAGAGCCCTTGATGAAAAAAAATCTGTTTTTCCATTTATATATATTGACCTTTCATGTTAGATCCATTATTTAATTGGCTAGGACGTAAATTATGTTTCATCTCCACATAATTTACAAAAGTCTCTTTTGTAAAGGGTATTTTGGTGATTTTGTTTGCCACTTGCTGTTAATTGGGACCTTAGATAAGAAATTACATCTACCTACCAATATGTATAAAGATTTACATTTTATATAGGTATGGGCACATAATGTTACATACATACTCATACATCTGCTTTTAGGAACTCTTGTCTCCCTGAGTTTTCTTCTTTATCTCTCAGAATGTAAATGCATACACAACTCCAACAACTACAATGTTCCCAATTGTGGCTATAATTGCAATCCATAACAAAATGGCATCATTTGAAGAACGAGATGTCTCTTCTGGCTGGTTTGGCACTGAGGCAGCAGTGTAGACATTCGCAGATGAATTAAACAAAGAATATTCTGTGCTAAATTCCTCATTGGGTGAGTCCATAAATATTCCTCCCATAACTGGAAGCTGCAGAAAAAAAATTAGAATCATAAAGTTAATGTCCAGATGGAAGATTACCATATATCCACGTATTACATACAGGAAAGTAGCTAAACTCCACTGGCCAGCAAAGCTGGAGACTATGCTTTAGATAAGGTTACCTTTTTAAAAAAAGACAAGCTTTATCTAAGCAGATGTCCTGCATGAAATAAATATGTTTTACATTCACGTTACAGCAACATCTCCTTTCAAAGAACATCAAAATTTTATAAGCTCTACTCTTCCATGAAAAACATGAAGGGTTAAGGAAGGTTTCCAACAATGGGCGATGAAAATAAATGACTATATGGCTTTCCAAAATAACACAGCAAGGCACATCCTTGCTATGGATGCTTCAGAACACACAATGCTTTTATTGAAGTTGATGGGCTGCAGTTAGGCAACACAGTTAGAGGAGTCTGATATGATCTAGGCATTCCTGACCTCCTCCCCCTAATGTAGACACTTCACCTACCAGACTAGAATAAACATAGTCTTCCATATTACCTGAATCAAAGAAATTATGTTTAGAATTTTTTCCAAGCCAGCTGGCTGGGGAATTTCGAGAGTTAAAGACCACATATTTTAAAGTTTTCATGTTTGAAAAACAATTTTTGAAGGAAAACTCTACTTGGAGTGAGTGTTGATTAGAAGTAGGAAAGGGGTATTGAACCAGTAACTTAAGTCAATTCATTTTAATCTTTCAAAGGCTAATTTGTCCTTTCCTGGCTATTGGCTCTATTTGTTCTTCACTCTTCCACCACCACTACCAACCTGCATTGTTTAAATAAATAGGAAAATGTCAATTCTAAAACCATTGCTTTGGAATTTCCACATTTGCAAGCAGTTCATGATAAATACCAGCCAAAGATTTTAAGCTTTTGTTAGTACTGTCAAAGTGCTATTAGGAAAGAGAAGGAAAGTGATATCCACAAAGTTCACAATTCTTCAAATGAAAGTATGATTCAAATATGAAAATGGCTTTAAACAAAGATGTGAAATTAGCATTTTAAGTTTTTATTAGAAACTTTCAATACAATAAAATAAACAAGACCAAAGATAGAAAATAAGAAACACAGAAAAAATTGACAAGAAACAAACAATTGTGCCTTCCACTCTTCTTTCTATTAAGTAATTGTCATAAACCTTTCCCAACTTCTAGTCTCATTTTCAACGTCCAAGAATTTAGCATTTTAGAAAGCCTTTCATTTTGTTTGGATTATGTTCAATCCATTATCTTCACTTTGTATAACTTTTCTCATTCATTTAATGAAAAAAAAGTAATACCCCTGAGTTTCTAAAAGTTGCAGCAAAATGTTCCTAACATGATCTCTGGTTATATCATAGTTTTAAAGCCTGGACTATTTGCATCTTCTTCCTAAAAGATGACAACCTAGATATTGGGAAATACTCCAGTGGCTCCCATGACCTTAAGAACTCTGCTGGTGGATGTAGAAACATCTCATAGGCTTTTCTCTAGTGATAAAATAAAAACAGGAGAGTAGAAATTAAAAGAGTAATCCATAATGGGGAAGGGAACATACGAGGTTTGTACAGATTAGGATTTCCTAAGAGATGTAATTCCCAACATTGAACCAAAAAGAGGGCTACAACAAATCACGTCTCTATTAATGCCACAAAATCAATATGGGTTTAAACAGAAATATTTCACCAGAAGAGTTCACTCCTCTATTCGTTGTAGAATACCTTATGCCACCAGACTTGAAATTCTAGACCTAGAAAACCTTGAATTATGCTGTCTTCGGTCTGATCTAAGTATGGTATATAAAATCATACATTGCAATGACTTACCTGTCAATGAATACTTCAGCTTCAACCATAACAACATAAGAGCACACAATAGATACAAACTCAAGGTTAATCACACCAAACTTGATTGCAGGAAATACGACTTCAGCAACAGAGTGGTCAATGTCTGGAATACTCTACCTGACTCTGTGGTTTCTTCCCCAAACCCCAAAAACTTTAACCTTAGACTGTCTATTATTGACCTCACCCCTTTCCTAAGAGGTCTGTAGGGGGCGTGCATAAGCGCAGCAACGTGCCTACTGTCCCTATCCTATTGTTTCTTTTATTTTTCTTATATGTACCCATTTCATGTATTCATAACTATTCGTAAATATGTATTCATAAATCTTGTAAGGGATTGACAAATCAAAATAAATAAATAAATAAAAAATAAAGTTTGGGTGTCAAAGGATATAATACCAGGTTGAAAAGCATTGGGATCAGTATTATTAAAGAAATAAGCTTCCAGATGAGGACTGATGGGTGATTAGGCATCTCTGTGAGTAGCTCCATGAATAGAGGACAAGACTGTGGTAGAATTGCAGCCAGGAGCAAAAAGTCTCTCTGGAGGCAAAGAGAGACATTTGAGATAATCAACTTGCATTCTTGGAAGGAGACCACAGAAACTGAGCTTCTTGTATTCTATTATGAATGGAAGTTTAGGAACTAGGGGATTTACAATGTGCCTTTAACCATTGTGCAGCCTTAATGGATATTTCACCAACAAATACGTCACTTTCTTAGATACCTCTGGACTTGTATTCTGAATGACAGTCAAGATCAAAAACTTTCAGTGAGTGCCTTCTTCTTGAAATTAAGAAAGAAAAGAAAGATATTTCAGTGGATTTTAAATTAAAAGCAAAATGCTTAACAGGATCAAACCAGTTTTAAACAGATAAAGGGGACAGTGATTCTCAAAAATCAATTTTTTTCGACAAAATTGTTTCTGAAAATAATAAGATTAGACCAAACTTTTATGCGAATGCTGATGTTTATTTTTAAGGTTAATAGATAATAGGTGAAATTTAAAAAAAAACCAAGAAAATAAAGATAATATGTGATCTACTTGGGACTAAAGTGTTAAAGAAAAGCAGAAAAAAAAATGAGTCTGCCTTTACTTTCACCAAATTAATTGACATACTTTCATTTTGTCACAATGGCAACCATATGAAAACTTGCTAAATTAGGAGAAGGATGCAGAGGTTCACTACAACAACTTGCAGACAAGGCCATTTCATCAGAATTATTACAGACAATGTTTGAAGACATTGGCAAAAAAGTTGACTGCTATGATTAAAAAGGAAACAGAAGGAGGATAAAGGAGAAGTTAAGATTAAAGAATCCGTAAGGCAACTGACTGCAAATGTAAAACAAATTACTGACAAAGTGGAAGTTTTGCAAAGTAAGACAGAAGTTATAAATAGAGAGATGGAGAAAGAATTGGACAACTTGGCATTATTTGAATTAACAGAAAAAGAATTTTGCTTAAGTCTTAGAGCAATTCCAGAATGTGGAAAAGACTGTTATGTCTCTGTCTAATTTTCTGGATTGTGGGAAAGATGACATTCAAAAAGAGGCTGATAAGGTCAATAGTAGTTATACATTTCGCAAAATTAACATCCAAGGGACATCCTTGTGCACATTGTCAGGAAAGCTCATTAATGCACACAGATGTCATAACATAAGCAGACCAATAGATATTGAACCTGCCAATATTAAGTTAGGTGTTCTTTTTTTTTTTAACTACACAAAAATATTAGAATCGGCATGATTCAAATGAAAACATGGAATGGAATGTGAAAATTAGTGACCCATGTGAAATTATGAAAATGCTGTGTGCTTAGCTATAAATCTATAAACTACAGAAACCTATCTGTTAGGATTCATAGATATTTGGTTAATATCAACACTGTAGAATTGTATGTAAATATAGTGAAAAAATTAGCAGATAATTGTAGAAGTTGCTATATGAAAGGACACATAAATAATGATTAGAATGCCAAAATTGGAAAATGGATTGACTCCAAGGCAGCTCAAGAATTTGTGATCTCCAAGTCATTGAGGCTTGATGTACATTGGTAATTATAAATTAAATCTGAATTTTGTCCTGGAGCTGTTGTGATGTGATCTGGAAATGGGACATTTCCAGTTGGTGCTGAATGCAAAAGTGTGGGCAATATTTGGCATTACTACATTCATGTTACACTACTACTCCATAAGCTAACAAATAATCAGAGTTGGAAGGGACCTTGTAGGTCATCTAGTCCAACCCCCTGCCCAAGCAGGACACCCTACACCATTTCTGACAGATGGCAGTCCAATCTCTTCTTGAAAGTCTCAAGTGATGGCACTCCCACAACTTCCCAGGGCAAGCTGTTTCATTGGTGGATTGTTCTCATTGTCAGAAAGTTTCTCCTTATTTCCAGGTTGAATCTCTCCTTGTTCAGTTTCCATCCATTATTCCTTGTCTGGTCTACAGGCGCTTTAGAAAATAGCTTGCCCCTTCCTCTCTGTGGCAGTCCCTCAAATGTTCCAACACTGCTATCATGTCTCCCCTGGTCCTTCTCTTCACTAGACTAGCCAGGCCCAGTTCCTGTAACCATTCTTCATATGTTTTAGTCTCCAGTCCCCTAATCATCCTGGTTGCTCTTCTCTGTACTTTTTCTAGAGTCTCAACATCTTTTTTATAGTGTGGTGACCAAAATTGGATGCAGTACTCTAGGTGTGGTCTTACTAAGGCTTTACAGAGTGGTATTAGTACCTCACTTGATCTTGATTGTATCCCTCTGTTAATGTAACTTAGGATTGCATTAGCTTTTTTGGCTGCTGCTGCACACTGCTGGCTCATATTTAGCTGGTTGTCCTCTAAGACTCCAAGATCCCTCTCACAGTTACTGCTATTAAGCCTAATTTCACCCTGTCTATATGTATACTTTTGGTTTTTCTCGCCTAAGTATAGGACTTAGCTGTTCTGGATCCCCCAAGTCTTCTAGGTATAAGCAATTCTCAACTTACAACAGTTTCTTTAATGACTGTTTGAAGTTAGAATGGCACTGAAAAAAGTGACTCATGACAGTTGTTCACACTTTTGACCACTGGAGCGTCCCTGTGATCATATGATCAAAATTCAGACACTTGGCAACTGGTTCGTATTTACAATGATTGCAGTGTGCCAAGAT